CTGGCCCATCACCCACAGCACTCAGCTCGGGGTCCCCTGCAAACTGGGATTATTTAGTCTGGAGAAGAGGAGGCTCAGGGGAGACCTTCTGGCTCTCTACAACACCCTGACAGTGAGTGAGGTGGGGGTCAGTCTCTTCTCCCAAGTACCCAGTGACAGGATGAGAGGCAATGAGCTGAAATTGCTCCAGGGGAGGCTTCAGTTGGATCTTAGGAAGAATTTCTTCCCTGGCAGAGTGGTGAGGGATGGGCCCAGGCTGCCCTGGGAGGTGCTGGAGTCACCAGCCCTGCAGGGGTTCAGAAATCATGTGGACATGATGCTTCATGACATGGTTTAGTGGTCATAGTAGTGTTGGGCTGAGGGTTGAACTGGATGATCTTTGGAGGTCTCTTCCAACCTTTAGATCTATGATTATGTGGTGAGCATTTCCAAAAGTAAACTGGCCAACTCTATGGCCTTCCTTTCCTTCTGAAGCATTACTTTGGTAAAGTAACTCTCTGTTCAATCTGCTGTAGTGAGACATCCAGCATGAGCCAGAGAGGAACGTTCAGCACTAAGCTCAACACTTAGACCAGGATCTCTCCACAGTGAGGGGGAGGAAGGGGAGCTGTACAAGTCCCTCTGATGTCACTCTGTGAAGGAGTGCAGCTGCATTCTTTAGTCAACATACCGCGGCTTAAAAGCTTCATAGTCTTTGGCAAGCTTCATGTACAGTTGATGCTGAACTTCTAGTGGTGTCTCCTTGAAGTAAGAGGCTGGCTTGTCATACAGAGTTACTGCCCTGCCATGGAATCAATTCACAAGTTAAATAAAAAATAAATGCAAAAAAAATGCCCATGGTGACAGTGACTGGCTACAGCAATGTCAGGCAGAAAGTAATTAAACCAACAGAGAAAAATTAATGGTTTTACTCTCACAGCACCCTCTATTCCTGAAGTTGGCTGGAACACACCAAGGTGGATGTACCAACCCTGAAACAAGGGATCAGTGGGGTGCTAATTATGAAGGATAATCAAGAATCTTGAATGCCCACAATCCACCAGCCCCTTTCAGACCTGAGCTAAGGTCTTTCAGGAGTGATGGATGGGCTCAGGGGAGGTACTTCTCTAAGATTCCTCTGAATCCTGAACCATCAGGGACACACTCCTTGGTTTGACTTCCCACACGTGGGTTTATTAGAGGTATGGGACTTACTTGATGTTGCAGTTCACCCACAGGTCTTCTTTCATGGCATGAGTGACACACAAGTTATAGTCAGACAAACGCCCAAAAAGCTTTTCATACCTGACAGAAGGGAAATCCTAGTTACAAACCACAGGCAAGGCAATTACAGCAGCCAAGCACTAACTGCTCACCAGCACTCCTGCTAATTAGAAGCCAAATGAAATCAAAAGAAACCCAACTGCCACCAGTAACTGGAAATTAATTCCCAATGATTGGCTGTCTCCTTCTACTGGAGCAGTACCAGTTTATGAGAGGGGACACAGCATGACTCCTTTATCCTCCAAGACCTAAGAACACCACACCCAAAATCCTTTAACACCTTTATCTGCACGTAAGCAATGAGACTCAGCAAGAAACAGCCCTTTATGGATGAGCTGGGGTGTAAAGCAGTTATAAGAGAATAAAAAAACCACAGTACACATAAAATTATTTGAATAAAAGAGGGAAGTTTGCATGTGCATGTAAAAAGGACCTGCCTATTCAGCAACCCCCTTCCTGCCCGTGTAACAAAGGTGTTTACAGAATGGGATTTCTGATATAAACAGCACTTTAACACAAAAATCCCCAAATCCTGCAGGGAAATTACTTCCACTACACTCTCCCCACTGGCTCCCACTGTTCCAAAGTGCAAAGGCACATCATTTACAGAGAGAAGAGGTTCCTGTACAAACCATTTTGCAATCTGCACGAGCGGGTGGTTCCTGCCGTGACTCAGACCCATTATCGTATACCCATAGTTGTGCCAGTCAATGATCAGTTTGCTCCCCCAAAAAAGACACATCACCCAGGCAACAGCAATGCCAGGTAAGCCTGGAGGGTTCTGTTTAATAAATAAAACAAGTAAAAACAGCATTAGACCGTGGCCAAGTGACAAACACTAAGCAACTACCACAAAAAGAAAATGGAACGACTGAAATGGCATCGCTTTAAAGGATCTTAACAGAGAGAATTTAGTATTTACCAACTATACTACCACCAGTTTCTCCTAGAAGACTGGCAGGAAGTTCAGATTTTACTGATTAGGGTCAAAATTCTGCTCCAACACACTAATATTTCTATTAAGATTCATTCTTTACTTCTAGCCATACCAGTGACGTTCAAGAGCTCAACAATTAACAGGAAGAACAAGCACGAGTTGTTAACAGAAAAATCAAACAGCCACATAAACAGTTTGATAGAGGTTTGCACCATTGATTAGAACAGTTTTAGTTCCCAAATCATCAGGAAAAAAAAAAAAATCAGAGACTGCTAAAAATACCTTGTAGTGCAGGACGGTTCGTTTGGCTTAAAATTAATCCCAACCCAAAACATACCTGAAGAAGAACATAGGACGGCTGCTGCATCTTCAGCATCGTGTACAGTAGCTGCACTGCCTGCACAACGACTTTCAGCACGTACTGGAAAAACTTGGGGACGACTGCAACGCAACAGAACCCCCGGTGTAAACGTTACAGCCCTGCAGAAACGCGCCCCTCCCGCCCAACCGGCCACCCCTGCGCAGAGAGGTTGACGATAACTATGCTATAAAACGAGAAACCTTGTTTTGGGCAAATATTTCCCATCCCCGACTAGCCGCGGGTTTGTATTTCGGACATCAAGCAGCCAAGCAGGCTAAGCCAGGCCCCCGCCCCCTTCGCCTTGTGGGGTTTAACGTCCATCCCCTCTCCCTCCGCTCGCCCCCCG